TTCACGCTACGATTCTAATACAAGTGTAACACTTGAAGTGGCGAATCGCCAGGAAAAATATTCGTATTTGACTTCTTCTGTGGTGAACCCTCTGAGTCGCTCTTTTGAGCGGCTCGGTATGCTCTGTGCCATCTTCAAAAGCGAATGTGAAGCTTACGCGGTGGATATCGAGCAAAATCGCTGATTCTTCCCAGACCTTTACACGGAGGATATGGGAGTGAGGATCGAGGATGCCGAAGATCGATTATGAATAATTTCGACGTGTGGGGACGTTGTTGGCCTATCTCGCATCCCCGGAAGTGTTTGGAAGCCTACCGGAATCTCGGGGGACCTCTGTGGATCTCTTGGTGCGGAGGCTGGGCTGCGAGGATAGAGAAGGAAATCAGGAGGTTCGAGGACTGGGGCCCGTCGAAATATACGGAAGCGAATGCAATAAGGAAGGCACCAGATAAAGCCGCCATCCGCCACGCGCCATCCGCGAATAATGCCATGCAGGACAGTTCGGTGTAATTTCTACCCGAGCATGTGGGCAGAAGGTGGGGCAACGCCTTTTTGGATGGCGCGTGGATGATCGAGTGACCACGGGGTGGGCGCCCTATGGGTGGAAGAATGAGAGCGCCGCTGCGTCGTAGCACCTGTTGGATGCGGGCGGTCATGACACCGAACACCCAATATCGCGTTGGAACACGGTGACGCAAGTCGCTGGACATAGTGAACAATACACCCCCGCACACCAGGCTCTAGAGGACCTCCACTACCACCTTGTACCAAAGACCTGGAGGACTCTTGGAGAATCGTGGGCCCGGATGTGCGAAGTCCACGAAAACGAACGCGGGAAAAATACATCATCGGGTTGGGACAATCCGGGTGCTCCGAAACCCGGGGGGTCTAGTAAATGCTGATCGGGCTCCGCGGCCTTTGCAGAGCGTTCCAGCGCCCTCAAGCTGATGTTGAAAAGAAGAACTGCCGACGACGCAGAAGGGAACGACCGCGGACCGTCCCGGCCCCCGCGCGCGCGCACAGCGTGCGTGCGCCGCTTGGGGGCTGGGGCAAGGCTGGTTCAAACCGAGACGGCGGCGGCGACTCTCTTTTCTTCGTGCTGCTTCAAGGCCGCTCCCTGCTATCTAACAGTCTAGCCCTCCACCCCAAGGGAGGGCCGGGAAGGAAACATGGAACGTATTGGACACTGTCAAACGTGGCGCGCTCTGTCCGCACGCGGAACACCCTCTGGCCGGCCCACAGAAGCTGTGGCTCGTGCGACAGGCACTCAACAAGGCCTCGGCGCAGCTTTGTGATCCACAAAAGGAGGAGGAGGAGGAGGAGGAGGAGGAGGAGAAGGAGGAGGAGGAGGAGGAGGGGGAGGAAGAGGAGGATGTTTGTGAAGGCCCGGGAGGGGGTGGACATATCTCTGCTCTTTTCTGTACGAGCGCCACGATAACGCCCAAATCATCTGGGCGCGTCCATGACGGGCTGAAAGCCAAAAGTGCTATGACAGGCACAAAGAAGGGGGAAGAGAAGAGGACAGAGAGGACGGCGGGACTACTTCCAGCGGGTCTGACATCGCCCAACAATTGCTCTCCCAACCCCCAAACTCACCCCGTTCTGGTTCCATCTCATCACAACTGGCTGTAAGGAAGGTTTCCAGGAAGGCTCTGCGCAAACGCGACTTGAGAAAATTGTTCAGAAATCTTTCGGAAACATGCCACCCCTGTCTACGAGGACCATGGTCCGCTTGGAAAGCAAATTGGTCAGAGCTAAACTGCCGCGGCCGGGGTCCGCCTTCGTCAACGCGTCAGTAACCATTCTGCCGTGTGGGACCCACCGAACTTGGGATCCCACCGCACTGAGGCCATCACGCGCAACGGCTAACTCGATACAATTTCTGCGGTCCGCTCACGAACTGGCAAGGTTCTGCGATAACGTATCGAATATGGACTTTGCGTCCACCCCTGACAGAGTCTCTACCCCCGTGGGGCAGAGTGCAATCTCTGCTTAGAACTACCGGGCAACAAGATTGCGAGAGATGCCAATCCGGGCGGCTAACATCCCCGAAAATGAGGTCGCGCCATAAAATTGACAACCATCGCGCTGCAGCAAGCGCGGCAGAACGAGAGAGGGTCTCGGCGGCTCCCGTGGAAGCCACAACACGATTCAGACGAGTTGATCGTCAGCTCAACAGGGACACCCGGGCTCTTTTATTTTGTGGAATCGCGGGGTCGGCCGCTAAAATCAACCAGCCTCCCTGGGTCACGAATACCAACACCTTCATAATCATCCTCATCATCACCTTCACCATGACCATCACCAGTATCATCACACATGTCATCATAACCATCATCACCACCGCCATCACAATCAACATCATCATCATGACCATGCCCATCGCCATCATGACCATGACCTTCACCACCATCATCACAATCATCAACATAATCAGCATCATCATCACCAGCAGCATCAGTCATCAATCATCAGCATCATCATGACCATCATCACCACCAACATCACCATCATCATCACCACCATCATCAACATCACCCTCATCATCATCACCATCATCGCCATCATCATCATCACCACCATCCTCATCATCACTATCATCACTATCATCAAAATTATTGTCACAATCATCATCATCACCCTCATCACCACCATCATCATCAGCATCACCATCAGCATCATCATCACCACGATCATCCACATCATCACCATCAGCACCATCAGCATCATCATCATCGTCACCAGCAGCCTCATCATCATCATGGTCATCATCATCACCAGCACCACCACTATCACCATCACCATCATCAGCATCATCAGCATCAGCATCAGCATCATCATCATCATCACCATCATCATCATCGCCATCACCATCACCATCACCATCACCATCATCATCATCATCAGCATCATCATTATTATTATTATTATTAATATTATTATTAGTATTAGTATAAGTATTAGCATTAGTATTAGTATTAGTATTCGTATTAGTATTAGTATTAGTTTTAGTACTAGTATTAGTATTAGTATGAGTATTAGTATTAGTATTAGTATTAGTATGAGTATGAGTATTATTATTACTGTTATTATTCGTATTGATATGATTGATCGAATTATTATCGTTATCATTTTCATCCTCATCGCCGTCACCATCACCCGTACCATCATCGTCATGATATCGCTGTCCTCATTATCGTCATCGCCGCCCATTTCGGCACACCCCTCACAATCTTCGTGGCCCCATAGGGAGCTCCACCCAAGGCCCCAGTGGCACCGTTCACGCGCGTCCGCGCCACCGATTTCGACATACCCATCACACATGTCGTGGCCCCATAGGGGGCTCCATCCAAGGCCCCACGGACAGCCCACAAGCGTCCGCGCCGCTAATTCCGGCACACCCCTCCCACGACTCGTGGCCCCATAGGGAGCTCCACCCAAAGCCGTCCACATGCGTCCCCGCCAAATATTTCGACACACCCCTTATACGTCGGCACCGTCCACATGCATTCGCGAACCCAATTTCGAAATACCCCTCATACGTTCCGTGGCCCTATAAGGTGGCCCCACCGAAAGCATCAATAGCACCGTCCACATGCGTCCGCGCCAACCATTTTGGCACACCCCTCACACGCTTCGTGGCCCCATGGGGAGCTCCACCCAAGGCCCCGATGGCACCCTCCACACGCGTCCGCGCTGCTCATTCCGGCGCACCCCTCACACGCTTCGTGGGCCCGTAGGGAGCTCCACCCAAGACCCGAATGGTGCTTCCACATGCGTCCGCGCCGCCGACTTCGGCACACCCCTCACACGCTTCGTGGCCCCATAGGGCGCTCCACCCAAGGCCCAGTGGCACCATCCACACGCGTCCGAGCCACAAATTTCGAAACACCCCTCGCACGTTCCGCGGCCCCATAGGGAGCCCACCGAAAGCCGTAATGGCACCGTCCACACGCGTCCCCGCCACTTATTTCGGCATACCCCTCACACGCTTCGTGGCCCCATGGGAAGCTCCAGCCGAGGTCTCACTGGCACTGTCCACATGCGTCCGCACCACCCGTTTCGGCACATCACTCACACGTTTCGTGGCCCGTTGGGGAGCTCCACCCAAGCTTGGGAAGGCCGCAACGGCACCGTTCGAATGCGTCCGCACCACCAATTTCGGCACACCCTCACACGTGTCGTGGCCCCATTGGGAAATCCACATGAGGCCCCGGTGGCGCCGCCCGCATGCACCCCCGCCGCTCATTTCCGCGCGCCGCTTACACGCCCCGTGGGGCCCATATGCAGCTCCATCGAAGGCCCCAGCGGCACCGTCCACACGCGTCCGCGCTGCTCATTCCAGCACACACCTCACACGCTTCGTGGCCCCATAGGGAGCTGCACCCAAGGCCCCAACGGCACCGTCCACATGTGACCGCGACGCCCATTTCGGCACATCGCTCACACTCTTCGTGGCCCTATTGGGAGCTCCACCTGAGGCCCCGGTGGCGCCGCCGGCATGCGCCCCCGTCGCTCATGTCGGCGCACCGCTCGCACGGGTCGTGGCGTCAATCGGGGGCTCCACCGAAAACGAGAACCATACCTGCGTTACCCACAAGTCCATATGGATGGGGTTTTTTGCCAGGGTAACTCGCGACGCCCAGGGGTGCGATTGCTCCTTGCCGTCCTTTTTCCCCGTCCGTATTCCCCACCTCCCTCTTTCCCGTTCTGGTCCTCGTCCTCGCCCTCGTCGTCGTCGTCCTCCTCCTCCTCCTCCTCGCCCACATTCTAACTGTTGTTCGCCCTCCCCCTCCTCCCTCCGCACCCCCCGCCAATCTCCCCGCCCTCTGCGGTCCGAGGGACGCTCGGGGGGCTCCCAGGCCGCGACGCGCCGCGGGCACCGACGAGGCAGGGGACGGCGCAGGCGATGACGCCGGCGACAACTCAAGCGACGGCGGCGTCGACGACAGCGGCGACTTCGACGGCGACCGACCCCGTATTCAATGCGGTGGCGGGACGTCCAATCGCCCTCCTGCTGCTCATACATCTGCTGCATTTCCTCCAGGGGGGGTTTTATGGGCCGGCTACGTGGCTGGCCCCGCACAAATGCAAGGTCGGCCCTGCGCTAAGAGCAAAGGTGGGGCATCCGGCGCAGCTTCGCCATGGATCGCGTGAGAATTGCACGGACCATCCGCAGCGAACTGACGTTGATGTACAACGGTGGATGAAAGATGGGTTGTTTGATCGTAAAGCGTTATAGAACGATGGTAAGACAACTCACGTGTAAAGCGGGCACAGAAGGTGGCCACCTTTGAACCACATGCCCGTGGGAAGCCATACCCTGCCCGCGTGCTTGCAGTGCTGCTACGCGTTATTATGTTACCGTTCGACTCTGGTAATCAGGCGAATCCGTTGTTCCTCGTTGGCCAAACCACCAACAAGACACCCCGGCCAACTAAACAGAAACAGGGTGATAGAGAATCTTCTACTGACCAGCTTCTTCATTAGAAATATTGAAAAAGGTCGCTTCGCCGGTTCCGGTAAGTCCCGCAGTTGACGGACTTCGCTCAACCCCAGTTTGGCCCCCCACGGCGCCAGCCGAAAAAAACCTTTTGCGGCGCCCGTGGCCGGGGCGGAATTACTCACATCATTGACAATGGGACTAACTATAACCCCGCCGACGGTAGCAGCAGTCGCCTGACAGTGCAAACGGCCTTTCAACTCACCTGCCACTTCTCGAACCCATCTCAAGAGAACAACCTCTCATCAAGATGGCTCACGCTGTCGCATGTTGCGAACGCCGTTCGCTTCGTGCGAGTCTCCTTTCCGCAGTGTATGTAGCTGGGCCTCTGGCGAACCGACTCCGTGACATTTGTCAATTCTCTGGCGTCCCGACCCCCCGACTCCGTGACATGTGCGCCGCAATCGTGAACGCCATTCGGATCTGCGACAACACGCCGGTCACCCGTCGTCGTGTCCTTAGTGTGGTCGCTGTAGTTGGAGTTTCGTACGGCCTTCTAGATTGCCCTCCAAGGCGTCAAAGGAGCTCTTTGCCGATGCTCCCTCTCGTCATTGGCTCCGCTCGCATGTCGCGTGTGTCGCGCCACAGCGTGCCGGACAGTTGCCTGGTGCGAAACTGGTCCGCTGGCCACCACAGGTAGCCTGCAATGCTGTTCTCTGATGGCGGGCGCGCGCGGTCCGAGGTCAGCGCCAGCGAGACGGGCGCGCCGTCTGCGACCAGCTCGGCCAGCACAGCGTGACCCCCTCCTCCGTCGTCCTCCTGATCTCGTCTGCTGAGGCGCGTCCTCGTGCCATCTCGTAGAGCGTGAGGAGGCGCGCCTGCGGCACGTCTGTTGCTCCGCATGCTTCGGGCAGGTCAAAGCCGACAAGCTTGCGTGGCCGGCTTGCAGCGGCGAGCAAGTGGCAGATCTGCTTACCAGTGCTGCGACACTTGCCCAGGCGCACGTATCCGGCGCCTCTCATGCCACAGCCTGTCTCCTCCTCGCGCTTGAAGGGAACGTCGCTGCGCGCGCCGATCTGGCACGCTCGCTCCATCGCCAGGCGGGCGATGCGCGCCATGATCTTCTGCGTGGCCAGAACAGAGCTGAGCAGCATGATGCGCCTGGTGAGCAGCTTGTTCAGGGCCCGCTGCAGCGCGACGACGCGGGCGCCAACGCGGCGTGGCGCGAGCAGCGCGTGGGCAGCTGCTCCGAAGAGGGAGGCAAAGAGGTCCGGGAGTGGACCTTCGGCTGGGTCGTCGGCCATCGACTTCGCTAGGTCGGCGTGCCTAAGGGGCCGGCGCGTCGATGCACTCGTCGCGATCGAGCGCCGCGCCGCCGTCGGCGCCGCGGTTTTATAGTGGGCGCTGCAATTAGTGAAGTCGTCGTAGTCCCCCTTCATGTTGCCGAAGACGCTCGCGATGTGGCCGACGAGACGGTCGACGTGCTCACTGCGTCCAGCTATCCTGAGGTCGTCAAACTGCACGGGCAGCGCGGGCGCCTATCCTCCGGGGCGCCAGCGCCGCAGGCGCCGGGCGCCTCGCGCTTGACCTCGAGCTCCGGGCCCGCCGCGCCGGCCCAGTGCCGGGCGCGTGGCCCGGGCGGACTTCGCGGAGAAAACTCTACGCGCATTCTCGCAACAAGTGCCCGGCTTGATGCGGCGCAAGCGCTTTGTCCGCTTGTCGAAGGACTCGTCGCCCGGAACCTGCCGGAGGGCGGCCGCGCAGCCGGGCGGCAGGCTGAATTTCACCCTTCTCGGTGCAGGCCGCGCCGCGCAGGGGCGCTTCCTCCGCGCCCGCGGCGACGCGCGCACACTCCGGGCGACGGGCCGCCTCGATCCGAGAACAGAGCGCGCTGAGACGCCTGTTTCGCCGCGCTGGCAAACGTCTCCAGGGCCCCGGCGCCCGTGTCTCGGAAGTCCCCCACCGCCATCAAGCGCCGGATGATCCTGACGGACTTGCCGTCCGATCCCTGTTGGTGCTTGAATTGGGCGCGCGTCTGGAGCCCATGGCGTTCCGAGCGCCTTCGAGAGGGCGGCGCTCAAAACGCTTGCGCTTGACCCAGATGGCGAGCTCCTCGAAGATGGCGGCGGCCACTTCCTTTGCCAGCCTCGACGCCCCCTGTCTGGTTCGGAGATCGGTGTCGCGCTTGATTGCCATGGTCGTGGCGGAGGCGTGGACCTTAAGCGCGCCTGTGGCGTGCCTGCCGGCAACATAATTGCCGTCGTGGCAGCTCAGAAATACTTCGCGCACTCCTGATCCCCCTCCTGAAGCTTGATGTAATCGTCCAGAGTGGCGCCGTGCAGATAGTAGTGGCACTGCGTGGATCTGCTGACGTTGGTGCTGAGTCTCCGGGTGCCGAGGCCGCTCGCGTGGCCTGCGGCCTATGCTAGCGCCCGCGTGCCCGACGGCAGCGCGGGCCATCTGCTGGCTGTCGAAGCCCTCCAGCACCTGTAGCTCCCTAGTCAAATCCTCAGCGCCCTCAAATATAGGCCTCGCGCTGGGCTGTCAAAATCAACCGCTGGACGTGTCCAGAGTCGCGAGAATCGCCAAGAGGGCCCATTGTGAACCACTCGCGATAACGCTGGCGGCGTCCGCGGTGACGTCGAAGACGCAGTCGTCGAACGTCCCGTCTTGATCCTGCCTGGCGTCGGCTGCGAGCGGCCGTTCGTCACCCAAGACAAACTGGATGATGCGAACATCCTTCAAGCTGCGGACGTCGAACTTGACGCCGCCACGCGCGTGGATGGCGGACGTCGCTCGGGCGCCGAAGGAACCGCCGGATGGCCGGACTGCGCCTGCAGCCCTGCCAACCGCCCACAGCTTTCTGGCCGCGCACAAGACTCACGGCACGCACGTGAGGCAGCTGAAAACATCTGCGAGGCAAGCGGCGCAGAGCATCGAGGACATCAGAGAGTTGCCGACCCTGCTCGGTCAGCTGCTTGCCCCGCTCGTCCTCCCATTGGCCGAATTAAGGTCCTGGTTCCTGAGCCTGGAACGATGCGTTCTAGGAAGTCCTCCGCGCGATCCCAGGCCAGGCCAGGCCAACTCGCGCCATGCCGGTGCCCGTGTCGTTGAAGAAGGCACCGATGGAGATCCGTGCGTCCTGAAGTCTGCAGACACAACCGCTGCGGAACTTGACCGCGACCTTGCCTCTGGCCGGGTCCGCGGACAAGACAGTGCCAGAACCTGCCCAGCCTGGCGCGTCCTTCGGGCTAGGAGGCCGGGCCTCCCCCTGATCACCCACGTTGAGACGCCCCTCTCAGGCCTCGGCCTCTCTAGGAGGGCGCGATTGACGCGGGCGATCGAAGCGGCCTCGAACTGCGCGCTGCAAAACGATATCACGGAAACGCCACTGCAGACGGCTGGGTCGGACCTCGCCATCGGCGGCCGGCCCCGCTCCGGCGACGTAGTCGCCCTTGTCGCCCTCGTCTGCTTCGAGCGCCTGGTTCAAGTCGTACCTCTCGGCCTGCTGCACTGTTGGCCTTGGTGGAGCCTGGCCTTCTGAACCTTCTGATCGCGTAGCCCTGGCCCCTTCGTCGAGCACGCAGTCGGATTCCAGCAGCACGGTCTTGGCGACTTCCTGCTGGAGCATCACTCTGTCTGGAATTGGCCCGGCTGCCTTGATGGCCGGTATGTCCACCCGCTTCCGCATCAGCCCGCGTGGGAGTGCTGTCGGCCGCTTGCCCGCCCCGGCACTGGGCGCAGCCCCTGCCTCGATGGTCGCGACGAGACATGCGGGCGAGGCGATCGCCAGGTGCTCGGTGAGGTGGTGGGTCTGGTCAAACTGGGTCAGGCAGCCTTGGCACTGTCTAGCTGTGGCCGCCCATGTGCGTGCGATGCTGGCCATCGTCCAGTGCTGCTGGGATACGTGGACTCTGAGTCCCCTCTGGCGACGGAACTTCCGCTGGCACCACGGGCACGGCCACTGGCGTGCTGTCGCTGCGTCTGCTTCGTCTGCATTCGGGGGCCCGGATGGACTGCCCTCTCTCGTGGAGTCTGGCACTCCTGCTGGCTGCACCATGGCGAAGAAGCGCTTCTCTGCCATGCGTGCTGCATGCTCCCTGCTTAGCTGCGCCGCCGCCGCTTTGAGCGCGTCGTCGAGCCTGCGCTTCCACGAGCTGTGCGAGCGCTGTATCATGAGCTCCCACGGCCGCAGCTCGTCACTTGGATCAGGGAGGTCCTGCAGGTCCACCGAGTAGCCCTGGGGCCAGCGGAGGTCTGCCATCAGCATCTGCGGCCAGAACTGCCGCTTGGGATGCTGGGGCCTCAGCAGAAGCTGGGCCATCGTCGCGAAGGCGTGCGGCGGTCCTGCCTGTAGCAGTTCGCCGAGAAGCCGCAGCCGCGCGACTCTCAACAGGTCCTCCGGGCGGGCTCGGCCCACTCGGACAAGCAATGCCTCCGCGCGCGCGCAACACTCCGGTGGTACTTGGCCTCCGCGCGCGTGAGCCCTGGCCGGCTGCCCTGCCAGAAGCATCTCGACGAACAGACCAGCGCGTCCGCGAAGACCATCTTGGTGGACAGGTCGAGCTGGTGGCTGCGGAAAACCTTATCCCTCAGCT